TCGGGTTGGCCCCCTGCTCATGTAGGATGGCAGCCATGGCCTCCAGTGGTGTTTTGCTTTGCCCAGGGCCACCCAGGGTCCCCTGACTGTGGCCTTGTCACCATGGAGGCACATCCTTCTAAAACCGATATGATACTTGTTTGCCCTTCCTGCCCGCAGCTTGATTTGTTTCAGCCGAACTGGCAGAGCGTCCGAGTGAAGAGGCTGCGTGCGGGGTGGATGGTTGAAATCCCAGCTCCTTTGCTGTTGTGCTGTGTGGCTGAGGGGCAGCACTTCCCCTCTCTGGGCCTCAGCCATCCCATCCGTGATAGGGCTATGATAAGTAGCCACCCACAGGCTGTGGGCAGGCGAGGGAGGGGCAGACCTAGGAGGGCTGCAGGAAAGCAGGCACGCCACGGGGCAGATGCCCCCCTTTTGCATCCCTAGGTCAACTGGAATGTTATCTCCTGGACAGAGGGAGTTTTGTCTGCTTGGCAGACCAGGGCCTGGCAAGCAGGAGTTCAGGAAACGTTTGTGGAGTGAAGCAGGTGCTTACTGAGTGTCTGACACACTGCTCCCCACGGAGCCCGTCCCACGCCGCATCCACGCTAGTCAGAGGATGTTTACGATAATGTGAACCGCTGCCAGGCGTCGCACCTCCACGGGCTGAGTGGCCCACCTGCACTGTCCCGTTCAATCCTTGCGACACCTTGCAACAGAGGTACAGGTGTTAGCACCCCCACTTTACAGATGAGCTAACTGAGGCTCAGAGGCAGATGGGGCTGGGTGGGATTCAAAGCCAGCCTGGTGGACCCGAGAGCCTGCCCTTGTGACCACTGTGCTGAACTGCCAGAGAGAGAGCAATGGGGGGGCGCCCCGGGGCCAGGGGTCCTCAGCTGAGATGGGCTCAGAATGTGGCATTGTGGGCGACCTGGGCTTCTGATGGCCCAGAGCCTTCAGAGCAAAACTCACAAGGACACGGGTAACACAGGTAAAGTGATAAGCACATAGTAGGCCCCCGGCCATGGGGGCCAGATGGTTACACTGCTGGTGGAGGATTACTCTCCTGTTGATTTTCCCAGGGTGCTACATTGCTCCTAGCCAGGCTCTGCTCCCTCCCGGACACTCCATGCTCTGACCCCTCCAGATCGGGGCCATGCCTTCAGCATCCCCTACTTCCTGGCAGAGGTGGGCTGCCTCCCTCTGCGGTCCCCCACCTCAGGCGGCCCTGCAGGCTGTGTGTCCCCGTGGCAGCCTCAGAAAGATGGGAGGGGCTCACCCTCCTCGCGTTCCAGTTGGGGAAGTCCAGGCCAGGGGAGGCTCAGGTGGGAGGCTGCTGAGGGAGTTCCCCTGGCTCGGCCTCAGCTTTCCTATCCGTGAAAGGGGGAGATGATGGCCCCAAGGGGTGTGTGTGTTTCACAAGGAGAAGATGGATGTGGCCGAGCTTTGAAAAGCAAGAAGTGCCCCCCGTGTGGGGTGGGAGCTGTTGGTGAACCACAGAAATCAGAAGGGGACTCGGGAGCCCCAGATAGAAAGAAAATTTTTATTTTCTTCTTGTCCAAAAAGCTCTCCAGTCACTAATGAGGACGCCCTGTTGGCGGTAAACCCCCCACTTGGTTTGAGAAGGGCGCACTGTCAGGGGTCACCCTCAGGACCCCTGAACTAATAGCGTAACTGCTCTTTCAGCAGAAGACCAGATGCTTCATCGGAGCTGATGCTTAAACGAGCTGCTGTCATATTCGATCAGCAGCACCTCAGCGGAGGTGCTATCAGGATTCCCATTTTACACGTGGGGAAACGGAGGCCCAGGGCAGGTGACGGTCGCGCCCCCAGGAAGAGCCCAGGCCCGCCCGCCTTGGGGGTCGTGCCTGCTCCTGACCGCTGTGCTCCTCCACCTTCCTAGAGCCCGAGAGCCGGGGGTCTGAGGGGACCTCTGATCTGCCACGACTGCTTTATAGACCGGAAACTGAGGCCTGGGGAGAGAGAGGGCTTCCCAGGAGGACAGAACTGTGGGGATGCGCCCCGGGGGTCTGCCTGCAGGCTGCTCCAATGACTGACGGGGCACCCGTCCAAAGGGACGCTGGAGGGAGCTTGGGCTCATCTTTCCCCCAACAGCAGCCTGACAGGTCATCCCTCTGCTCCTGCTTGAATGCTCCCGGGCCGGAGAGCTCACTACTTTGTGAGTCGCCCATTTTTACAGAGCCCTTCCCTGTAACTTCCTCGCTGGTGGGGGCATCTTTTCTAAGGAAACACACTAAAACTCCAGATTCCATGAAATCAGCTCCTGAAACCCAAACCCCAATCAAATTTCCAGTTGTTTAAAGGCAGTGAAAAAACACCACAGATTTTTCCATCAACATTGAAAAGAATGTTCCAGACTCTGTGCCTAGTAGAACTTTCTACAATGATGGAAATGCGCCGCATCTACGCTATCCAGTCCAGCAGCCACCGGCTGTGTGCAGCCACTGAGCACTTGAAATGTGGCTGGTGTGACGCAGAAACTGAATCTGGAATTTTATTCAATTTTAATGATTTTACATTGAAATAGCTGCATGCAGCTAGTGCTACCTATTATATAGCACAGAGCTGGGACCTCTAGAATTCAGCGCATGTCTTCACCCATTCCTCAAAGGGCAGGGAGACAGCACGGTAGGGCTGTAGCCAACGCAGTGTCTGGCTGGGGGACCCTGTGGTCCTCAGTGTCCCCATCTGGCAACTGGGCAGGTGGCAATGATAACACCATCTGCCTGCTCGGGCTCATGTGAGGATGACATGAGGTCGGTCTTGTAACCACTTTAGCTCAAGGCCGGGCACATATCAAGGGGCTCCCCCATCCCAAGCTGTGTCCACAAATTAAATAAAGTTAAGCAGGGCCTTCCACCCTGCCTGGCCCTGGGGGTTGGGGTGGGGTATCTGGAAAGCTGGTCTGTGGCTCATTTGTCTAATCCGTGAGGACTATGGCGCTCCCATCGTGTGCCGGCCTGTGCTGGGCTCTGGGGCACGGCTCCTCCCTCAGGGGGTGCGAGGTCCCTGCTTCAGCATCACGTTCTCCTGGGGCCACCTGCACCCAGCAGTCAACTCAGCCCCGTCCTGGCCTCTGCCCTGCCAGATCTGGGGCCCCCAAGACCTGGGGGCACAACCCCTGCCCTCCTGGGGATACCAGCCGGGCTCAGGAGAACTCGAACCCGGGTCTGCCTGCTCCAGTCTCGGGTGGTTCCTGCAGTGCGAGAACCAGGCTTCCTCAGGGGAGGGCTCCCGCCCTGAGTGGGGTGGCAGCCAGGGCTGTGTGAAGCAGCCTCTTCAGGAGCTGGGTCCAGAGCCGAGTTCGAGACTCAGCCCAGACCCTGGAGCCGCACCTGTGCACGATGGGGCCCAGGAAGCTGTATTTTAGCGACTCCCAGCAAGGCCCTGGGGGAAGGACGGCCCTGAGAGGGTGTGGCAGGGGCGGGGGCACAGCTCAGGTTTGACCGGACAGCTCTGGGTGCAAGTCCTTGTGAGCCCCTGGCTGCAACCTTGGACAAGTCACTGCGGGTCCCTGAGCCCCCGTTTTCTCATCTGGAAAATGGGAGAATGGCAGTCCATATCTCCCTGGGTTACTGTGATGATCAACGGAGATGGTGTGTCCCCAACTTTGGGCCCAGGCCTGGCTGCTCATTCTGGGGGTCGGTGGCCAGGCCCTGTTCCCCTGCTGTCCCAGGCATCCCAGAGGGGGTCTGGTCCCCCCTCCTGCCTGTGCCAGAATGTCGGCCCCCATATGCCTGCCCCGGGCTCCCCCAGCCCTGCTGCCCTGGAAGTGGATGTGGGTGCTCTGGAGCTCCGCCGTGGGGTCCCCTGGCCCCGCAGCCTGGCTCCTTCCTGCACCTCATTTTTTGTCACCAATCTGGCCTCAGTTTCCCCATCTGTAAAGTGGGACCCCCTGCTCCCTGGCCAAGAGGCTGTCGCAGGGACTCAAAGAAGCAGAGGATGGCTCTGTGGGAACTAAAAGTGTTGGACATGACAGTCACTGTCACGCCATCCTCTGGGCTGGTGGCCTGGGGTCAGCCTATTTCAACCAGCCCAGCAGGCATTTAAGTGGCGCCACTGTGTGCGGGACGCAGGGTGAAACGGGGCTCAGGGCCAGCCCTCAGTGAGCCGAGAGGCAGAGCGAGGGCAGAGATGGCTGTGCGGCGCTTGCTGGCCCTGGCGAGGTCTAGGGAGCAGTCAGGACACAGAGGGGTCCCTGAGCTTGGGATCTGGGTGGCAAAGACCTCCCAGAGGAGGAGCCGCTCCTGGGCTGGAAGGAGCCCCAGCCCTGGTCCTTTTCTGGACTGTGAAATTGGGAGCAAACTGCTTCCCCTCTCTTGGCCTTGGTTTCCCTGGGCAAAATGAGGGGTAGGGTCAAATGATGCCTGAGGGGACTCCGGCATTAAGAGGCCAGAAGACAGAGCTGGAAGCGAGCCTCCAGGATGGGGGCGGGAAGAGCCAGCAGGCATGCCCAGCAGGGGACTGGCAGAGGCAGGGAGCAGCCGTGCTTGGGTGCACCGGGTGGGCCGCTGCTGGGTCCCACAGGAGTGGGGAGGGGGCCGAAGTGATGGGGAGGCAGTGGGACTCACAAACAGCCGGAAAAAGTACTAAGGAAAGAACCATGAGCAGAGCACTGTGCCCTCAGCCCCTGCTCCGTGCTCAGCTGCACCAGGCAGGTCCCTCGTGTGATTCCGAAACAGGCTCAGGGCACTGAGTGACAGCTCAGGGTCTGTTTCTCTGTCTGTAAAGTGGGGATGGCAGGTAGCCCAGGGTGTGCTCAACAAATGGGAGCTGCTGGTGGGAGCAACCACAGAGGCGGCCTGTGTGACCCCAGAGCCCAAAGCTTCTGGGTACTTCCGGTCCCCTGAGAGCCTGGCTCATATTATCCTTAACATTAATGTTGATGTTAATATGAATGACAGCTACGTCAGACACTCCTCCAGGTCTTTACAGGCGATAACACATTTAATCCTCACGACACCCTATGAGCAAGAAACCATTATTACCCCATTTTACAGATCAAAAACTGAGGCCCAGAGAGGTGAAGTCAGTGGCCCAAGGACACACAGGTAAGCAGAAGACAGGATTAGAACCCAGAGCCCAAGCTCTTAACTGCCATGTGTGCTGTGTCAGAGTCACCTACCCAGAACTTCTGCTCCACGATGGCGCCCAGGAATCTGGTTTGTCTACAAACCCCCACTGCCATTCAGGGCGCTCTGGTGGACCCTGCCTTGAGAAACCTGCCAGCAGGGGCTCACCTCCACTTCTCCCTGTGGCCTTGGCAGCAGGCAGAGTGGTGAGGGCAGTGGGGAGGTACAGCAGGTTACGGAGCATGAGTGGGACGTGCACCACCAGACGTGGTTGGCCAGCCACGGGGTGAGGAAGGGTGGGTGGGCGCCAGCCAGGCAGCCCTGAGTGCGGGCAACACACCAGGCCCTGCCCCTCGGCCTCACCCCGTGGTCTCCAGGGGCCCAAGGGGACAGATGGCATCGCCCAGGCCTGGGCCATGGCTGTCACTTGGCCAGATGAGTTATGCGCAGGCCGAAGGGGCGGCAGCCGGGGGGCTGCAGAAACAATGGCATCGAGACCCAGGACAATGGGGCCACGTGCCACAGGGGCAACAGTCGTTTGTCACACAATGGGCCGCCAGGGGACGGCAGCCGGGCCAACTGCTGCCACTGACACTGGCCGACCGAGTTTTCAAATCGTTTCCAGGCCCTGTTTTCCTACGAGGCAGCCAATCGCTGGGACAGCCGGGCAGTCACCTGATGCCAGCTCGGTGGGCTGAGGGCCCAGGCCCGGGGACAACTGAGCCGCAGTGGCCATGGCAACGCTAATTGTGGCCCTAAAGCACAAGGAAAGAGAAGGCAGGAGAGAAGGGAAGGAGAGGGGAGAGAGACAGGGAGAGAGAAACGGAGAGAGACTAGCAGAGAGAGGAAGAGGGAGAGGAGGAGGGGGAGGAGGAGGGGAGCACCTGTGGGAGGCGGCCGCGCAGCCGGTAGGAGGGCAGAGGCTGGTGTCCCACTGGGTCCTCTGTCAGATGCACCAGAAATCCAGAGGCTCCCCTCTTCTCTGTGAGGCCCCGAGACACCTAGTTTGGAAACTTGGACCTTTGAATTTGGACCGTGGGCCTCTGGGCAACAAACCAGAAAGCGCCAGCTGGGGGACGGCAGGTGCAGTGGGGTCTGCTGTGAGCTCCTGGCCGGTTTGCGGCCATGTTATAACATGGACAAGATGCTGTTGTGGGGCCCCGGGCCCTCGGAGCCCCATGGAGAGCCTGACTCAGGGGCGCCGGGGAGTCAGGGTGACCCAGATCAGGGTCCCTGTCTGGCATCCCAGATGGGCAGCCTTTTTCCTTCCATGGAAGGCAATGTTCCTGCTCGTGAAGCTGTTGAGGGGTGGTGGGCAAGGGTCCTGACTGCAGCCGCAGTGGCTGCCTGGGGTCGTGTGAAGAGCTTGGGCTCCAGGCCATGCTGCCTGGGCTCCAGCCCCACCACTTCCTCTTCCATGTGGCCTTGGGCAAGTGGCTCAGTGCTCTGAGCCTCAGTTTCCCCATCTGTAAAATGGGAATAATGACAATACTACCCACCTGATAGGGTGACTGGGAGCGTTCAATGGGTTAATGCCTGTGAAGGACTTGACACGGTACCTGGCACCCAGTAGTTGCTCCATAAACATCAGAGTTTATTATCTTGGGTGGGGCTGAGTGAGATGTGGTAAGTGAGTGAGTGAAGGAACCATCTGAGGATGTGCAATCTGGCTGCCACACGGGGGATCCCGGGCCCAGGTTCCCATGTGCAGCCCTGGGGATGGGCAGAATGGATGGCGAGGGTGGCCCAGGGAGGTGAGGGGTCAAGGGGGTGATTCCAGAAGTAGGGGAGCCCCCCAGGAGATGAACTCAGCTCCCCGCCTGAGCTCCTGTCCCTCCCTGCAGGCTCCTGGCCACCAGCAGTGATGATGACCTTCCTGGGGACCTGCAGTCGTTGTCGTGGCTCACAGCGGTGGACGTGCCGCGGCTGCAGCAGATGGCGAGTGGCCGTGTGGACCTGGGCGGCCCCAGTGCGCCACACCCACACCCACACCCAGGTAGCCTCAGGGGCAACGTGGGGAGGGGTGAGGATGCTGCGGGCAGGGGAGAGGCCAGCACCGCCACCCACCCGCCGTGTGACTGTGGCCGGGTCATTCTCTCTCTTTCTCTCTCCGAGCCTGTTTCCGCGTCTGTGAACGTGACTGATTCTACCTTCCTCCGAGGGAGGTGGTTCAGTCATTTGCTCACCACTGTGTGCCGGGCCCTGCGTGAACTGAGGTTTCAGTGAAGCAGTCAGACCTGCCCCTTCGCTGGGAGACGGTGAACAGCCAGAGCAGTCAGCAAACGATGGCCCGAGGGCCAAAGGCGGCCCGTGGCCTGTGTTCGTACAGCGTTTCTGTTAAGAACGGTTTGTACGTTTTCGGAGGATTGTAACAAAATGAAGATAGAGACCACAAGGCTGGCAAAGCTTAAAATACTTGGCATCTGGCCTTTCACGGAAGAAGTTGACTGACCCCTGATCTGGAGATTCAGATAGATGATACATGGAAAGTACGAAGTGCAGGGCCCAGCACACAGTAGGTGCTCAATAAATGGCAGCTGGTTGCAGTTATAGCATGTGGATTAAATGCCTAGAGACACAGAAAGCGCTGAAGAAACACAATCATACCAGTACATTCAAAGTACCAACAGTTGAAAAACTAGTGTCTGGCAGTATTTCCTTCACTGGACAAATTGTTCCTGGCCAAAGCGTCCATAGTGGAGGTTAGCGAACTCTTTCTATAGAGGGCCAGGTAGGAAATGTTTGAGACTCTGTGGCCGATGCTGCCTCTGATGAAACTACTCAACTTGGCCGCTGCAGCGCTAAACCAGCCATCGACAATATGGAAACGCGTGCGTGTGCCCAGGTGCCAATAAAGCTTTATTTACAAAAACAGGCATGGGCCAGATTCGTCCTGCAGCCATGGTCTGTCAACCTGTGATCCAGAACCCCCAGGGGACAGCTGTGTGACTTTGGGCAAGTGCCTTCCCCTCCGCCCTGTTTCTTCATCTGTGCTGAAAGAACTGTCCTGATAAGGTGTTGTGAGCATTCAGAGTAGAAAGCATGCTGCACACAGTAGGTGTTCAATAAATGGTAGCTGAAGTAAGGAAGCCCCTTCCTCCTCACTGTGTCACCACACGCCTCCTGTGTGCGTGTCACTGTGCCAGGTGTCTGGAGCCCTGAGTCACATAAGATGTGGTCCCAGTTCTCAGGGAGCTGAGGGCCTGGTCAGAGAAGGACAAGGCAGACAGACCAAGGCACAAACGATGAGCCCAGGTGGCAGCTGGAGCTCGGAGGAGAGCTGAGGGACCCAGGCTTCCTGGGAGAGACGGCCCGAGGGCAGGATCCCCTTGCAGGGCAACTTTGCTTGATTGGAGGCAGCTCCCTAAAATCTCCTGGTGCAGTGAGAATCTGTGATAGATCAGCAATGTCTAGCACAGGCAGAGCGCTGGATGGGGTGTGGGTGTGTACCTCTGCTGTTTCTGAGCTGACCCTTGGCAGAGGAGCAGGCTCGGCAAAGGGGACAGGAGGCACAGAGTCATCTGGACCTAAACCTAGAGGCTCTGGGGAACCAAGACACGCTTTTGAGGAGAGAGGAACAAAGAATTGGAGTTTGAACTTCATGGAGGACAGGGAGCGAGGTAATAATTACACCATCATTATGACTTATTAGAGACCGATATTTATTGCGATGTTATCAGGTGTCCAGCAATGTGCTAAGCGCTTTATAGACATCGTCTCAGGTAACCCTCACAAGAACGTCACAGGTGGGTAACATCAGTAACCCCATTGTACACATGAGGAAACTGAGGATGGCCCAAGGTTACACAGCTGGTAGGAACCCACTCTTCACTACGACACCCCAGGGAAGTGATGTGCCAAGCACCTACTGTGCACCTGGCACCAATGGTGGGGATGGCTCCATTCTCTGGAGGTCCTCAGGGCCTGGGCTGTCTGGGCCCGTGGCCACCGTTCCTCCAGCTCAGTGGTGTCTCTGTGCTTCCCTCCTGCAGGAGCCTTGGCTGGGGCAGCTGACCTGCATGTGGGAGCCACCCCAGGTCCCCTGCTCCACGGCCCGGCTGGCATGGGCCCCCAAGGCGTGCTGGGCTTGGGCCCCTTGGCCAGCCATGGAGCCAACGTAAGTGCTACCACATGGGTCCGAAGCAACAGGAGCATCTCCCAGGCTGGGGTGCCCCCCACCCTGACCCTCTGTCTCCTCTTCTCCTGGTCCCAGCAGATGAGCCAGTTCCCTGTGGGGGGCCAGCCCTCACCCCGTCTGCAGGACCCTCCACAGCTGTACTCTCCCGCCTCCCAACCACAGTTCCCGCTCCCCCTGGGCGCCCAGCAGGTACTGGCGCTCAGAGGGGCCCAGGACTCGGAGGCAGACACCGTTGGCTTGGGCTGGCCAGGGACCTCTCTGAACCTCAGTTTACTCACCCGGAACACGATGATACTGCTCCCACCATACCCACGGCATGGGGTCATCTACTCAGTTCTCCCCCAAGCCCTGCAGTGGCTGGGGAGCAGGTCGTCTCCTGGGGCTGGAAACCCCAATCTCGCTTTTCGAGACTCGGCTGGGCTGGGCTGGGGTTTTTGAGTGGCTTATGCTCTCTCTCACCTTCTCTCTCACCTTCTCTCTCTCTGCCACCCTTCCCCTGTCCCGCCTGTGGGAAGTGCCCTCCTGTGGGCCTGTGTGGCCCCCCATTTGGGGCACGGCCTCCCTACCCCCAGCCCCGTGGGGCCGTGCATTCATCCCAGGACCTGCACCCCAAACACTACCCCAAGCCCATCTACTCGTACAGGTGAGGTGAGGGCGGGCTGGCGGGCTCGGGGAGGAGAGGGCTGAGGGCTGCCTTGGGGCATCTCGGACAGCAAGGGCTGGTGGCCCAGACTTCCAAACAGGAGGTCTGGGGAGTGGGGAACCCCTGGGGGGGGACCTGCTCTCAGGAAGGACCATCATGTGGTCTGTCACCCCCCAGCATTGAGAAACCACTCCAGACACTGAGCCCAGTGCCCCACTCCGTCACTCACAAGCTGTGAGGCCTTGGGAAAGTGGCTTGGCCTCTCTGAGCCTCAGTTCCCTGTCATAGAATAAGTCATCAAAATAACAGTATTGTGGACCTCACAGGAGTCTGGGGAGAGGGGAAGCAGCCTAGTGAGAGGCTACAGGCCTAGAGGCTCACTATGGGGAGGGGATGAAGACAGCCTTCTCAAATCAGTATCAAGGGCTGAGTTCAGGGTCAAGGAGAAGGGCAGGGCCGTGAAAAGGTATCCAGGGCTCACACTCTGATTACGAGGGGGCTGCTACCTGTGGGGTCGACCAGGGCAGGCTTCCTGGCAGAGGGGACCTGGGACTGTCAGCCCAGATGCCTTCATGCCCGGCCGCCCCACCTTTTGCCTCCAGCTGTCTGATCGCCATGGCCCTGAAGAGCAGCAAGACTGGCAGCCTGCCTGTGAGCGAGATCTACAGCTTTATGAAGGAGCACTTCCCCTACTTCAAGGTGAGGGGCCCCAGCCCCGGGCAGCAGTGCTGGAGCTGCTCTGGCCTCTCCCTGGCATGACTAGAGCCCAGGAGTGGCTGCAGGCCAAACTGGGCCACCCTTTTGGGCCCCATTATGTCCACAGACACCTGCACATGGGCACTTGCACAGATATGAGCAAAGAAATTCAGAAAGAGGAGGGAGCATTTGAGGTGGGCTCTGACGGATGAAGAGGAGTTTGCAGGCATCCCAGGGGCAAAGGGTAGAGGAGGCCAACCCAGTTAGTCAGCACAGACTCAGCAAAACATAATGAGGCAAAAGACAGACCTGGCGGGAGCCTCTGCCTCTCTGAGCCTCAGTTTTCTCATCTGTAAGATGGGGAGAATGATACCCAGCTGGGAGGTTAGTGAGGATTCTGCGTGTAAAGCGCCTGGCAGCTCATGGCACATGGTTGGCCGTTAGGAGTGTTATGTTTGTTGGCATCAAAGGAAAAAAAGGAGCAGGAGGTCAGAGAGTACCAAGCTTTGGGGTTGCTAGCCTGGACAGTGTCCTTAGCAGAATTATTGCAGCACAGTGCGCGTGTGTGTGTGTGTGCGTGTGTGTGTGTGTGTTTAGGGTATTAAGTGCATTGTAAAATACCTGGTTACCTAATAACAAAGTAATGGGTATTTAACAATGACTGGCATTTAATATACTGGACTGGTTATCCGTGTTTTAGCATCATCTCGCTTGCTTTCTCCCTGAGTCGGGGACAGCGAGTAGAAGATCCGACAACCCTGAGCCTCATCCTCGGGTATTAACCATTGGCTGGAGCTGAAGTACAGCTGCCCCTTTAATGAGGGCATGGGCCCTTCCGTTTGCCACAGTCCCCACCGCTCTCTCGTGTATTCCCACGTGGAGGTTGAGTGTCGGACACTGTCATTTTACCCCGTCCACTGTTGTGTGCTGCCCCTGTAGGCCCGCATGTGCGATGTCCCTGGAGAGGAAGGGTTTATCGGGAGGTCTCTCAGGGCGTCTCCTGTGTGCCCATGTCTCCCGTAGACGGCTCCCGACGGCTGGAAGAACTCGGTACGGCACAACCTGTCGCTGAACAAGTGCTTCGAGAAGGTGGAGAACAAGATGGGCGGCTCCTCGCGCAAGGGCTGCCTGTGGGCCCTGAACCTGGCGCGCATCGACAAGATGGAGGAGGAGATGCACAAGTGGAAGCGGAAAGACCTGGCCGCCATCCACCGGAGCATGGCCAACCCCGGTGAGGCCTGGGCCCGCGCCAACACACGCGCGCACACACACACGCAGCACATCCTGCCCAGCCGGCGGCCGAGCCCAGCCACAATGGCGGGGTCACAGGCGGGCGCCCCGTGAACCCCCCTCCTGTGAATACACCTCCCTCCCCCGTCTCCAGTGGCCGGGAAATTGAGGAGCCTGGTCAGAAACACATGAAAACCTGTTGACCATCACTAGCAAACCCCGGTTTCTCACACAGAAATGCCGAACGCAACAACCACGGGGTGACACCGCTTTTTACCTTTCCCACCACATTGGCTGAGGTTTTAAAAAGTAATAAAATGATAACACCCACTGTAGGCCAGGAAGTGGAGAAGTGGGCATCTTCATAGACAGCTGGTGGGGATGGAAGTTGTTAAACGTTTACAAGGCAAACTAATGTATCAAAACCCTGCAAACTGTACGCATTTATCGGCCCGATTATTCTACTTCTGGCAATTTATCTTGTGGAAATGAAAGATTTGAGCAAAAGGTTTATGAACAAAGTTATCCATCCAAAATCTATTTCTAAGAGGAAAAAATTGAAAGCAATCTAGACCGCCTACAATAGGGGATTAAGTAGATAGAATGTCATATCATGCCAGTATTAGAGATAAAAATATTTTTGGAATATAAAGAAATGTTCCTGCTACAATAAGTGAAAAGAGACGTGTTACGAATTAATATAGCCAGCATGATCACATTTTAAAATGCATCTACATCCACGCCCATTTATATATATATATGTATGTATGTTTTATCTGTATACGCACAAGTGTATATGTATATACATATATAACACATACATAATGTACATAAATAACTATATATAGAGAGAGACAGAGAAACAGAGAGAAACCAGAAGGGGGAAATATACCAAAATCTTTACTTGAATGGAGAGACCACTGATAGTTTTTACATTCTTCACGTGTTTCTTTATTTTCCAAATCTTCTACCCTGTTCATGAATTACTTTTATATTTTATATAGAAAAAAATATTGCATCTGCTTTTTTTTAAAAAAAAATTAAGAGACGTGAAGGGGTGGGCCTACCGGGGACATAGGAACGGAGTGTGTGAAACGGGGGCTGACCCCGCCCAGCCTTAGGACTTCGAGACTTCGGCCTGGCACCGTGTCTGAGGCTCGGGTGTGCAGGGGGACGGGAGGATAGCTCAGAGACGAACAATGAGGGGGAGAAGGGCCACAGCGGGATCCAACAGACCCTCAGCTGAGGGGGTACCACATGACCCCCACCCCACAGGGAGCTCTGGGGGCTGGCTTGAGTCCCAGGGCCGGTCTGGACACATTCAGTGTGAGATCTTGGGCGGGCCATTTCTCCTTCTAGAGTCTAAGTGTCCTTGTTTCTTAAATGAGTGTGACCCAAATAGATCTTGGGACCCTAGTGGTCCAGTCTCAAAACTGCGCTGCGTTCCATGAGGCACAAGGCAACGACCACAAATAAGAGTGATTTCAGTCTCCTTTCCATCCAGGAGCGTTGAGGAGGATTCCATCTTTTACCCACAGTAACGCTTCTTCGTGTCTCTCCAGTAGCAGGGAGTGCCAGGGCCCCTCGCATGTTAATAAATTTGTCCCAGTCGGCAGCCCCTGCTGTGCCTCCCCTTGCAGGGCTGTTAGGAGGTTCTGGCACAGTCTGGCAGTTACAGCACAGCCACCTGTCACTTAACAGTGGGGACACATTCTCAGAAATGATTGTTAGGCGATTTCCTCGTTGCGTGACCATCGTGGAGGGACTTACACACACCTCGACGGGACAGCCTCCTACACACCGGGGCTCTACGGTCCTGATCTTAAGCGACCACCCTCATATATGTGGTCCGTCATTGTCCAGAATGTCGTCCTGTGGAGCACGACTGTGCTTTCCTTTAAGGCGCTGTCGCAGTGAGAGGAACTGATGTTATTAGCTGAGCCTCCCCTCGTTCCTCAAAGTCACTACTCAGTTTGTGATTTCAGTACTTTTCCACAATGACCCTGTGCAGAGTATATGATGTCACCTCATAGATGAAGAGACTGAGGTTCAGAGAGTCCAGGAGGCTTGCTAAGGTCACACAGGTGACAATGCTGGGATTTGAACCCAGGCCTGAGCTGGGGCCCTGGAACCGCACGGTGGCTTCTGAGTGACCTCTCCCCCTTGCCTGCAGAGGAGCTAGACAAGCTGATCTCAGACCGGCCGGAGAGCTGCCGACGCCCTGGCAAACCGGGGGAGCCCGAGGCCCCTGTGCTGACCCACGCCACCACAGTGGCCATGGCCCATGGCTGCCTGGCTGTCTCCCAGCTGCCGCCCCAGCCCCTGATGACTCTGTCCCTGCAGTCAGTGCCCCTGCACCACCAGGTCCAGCCCCAAGCACATCTGGCCCCAGACTCTCCCGCCCCAGCCCAGACCCCACCCCTGCACGCCCTGCCGGACCTGAGCCCTAGCCCTTGCCCACACCCCGCCATGGGAAGGGCCCCTGTGGACTTCATCAACATCAGCACCGACATGAGCACCGAGGTGGACGCCCTGGACCCCAGCATCATGGACTTCGCTCTGCAGGGTGAGTTGGGGGAACGGGGTGATGGAGACAGACCGGGAGGGGAGAGGCTGGGGTGCCGGAAACACAGGGAAGGGGAGGGAGAGGAAGACTCTGCATTTCCCCTACAGCTCACTCCTTCAACCACCTAGGAGTAGCGAATCACAGCAAGCATTTAATGAGCGCTTACTGTATACCAAGCTCCATGCCAAGCACTGCAACGGTCCCATGAGGTCACTGCCATTTCATGTCCCCATTCGGCTAATAAGGAAACTGAGGCAAAGAGAAAGGAAGTCACTGGCCTGAGGTCACCTGGCTAGTAAGTGGCAGAGCCAGGATTTCAACCCAGGTCTGTCTGACCCCAAACATTCAATCAGTAACTGCTTCCACTTGCACGTGCCAACCTCACGCCAGGCCACGCTCTGCCCCACTGCCCATCACACGGTCAGTCTCGATCCATGGGGAATGAACGAAGGGAGGAAGGAAGGAACAAAGGCATCAACAAGGGAAGCTCGGATTTCAGTGAAGGCTCATGATTGAGTCACCAGCATTGGTGCACCTACTGTGTGCCAGCCAGTGGCCGAGACATCCTCTGCCCTCAGGAATTCCCCGTGTAGTGAGGGAAATGGACTAGTTAGCAGGTTAGTCAGCAAGTTAGTAAGTCAGTTATAGCCGTGAAATGGGTATGTTTGAACCTCCCTGCCTCCCGCCCTGGATTCTTGTTAGTGAAACCGCCCAAGGAAAGGGAGGCCATTGTGTGTCCTGGGCCTTGACCGTGAGCTTCTGCTGAAGGAGGGCTGTGTGCTTACACACATCCCCTTGTTTGATCCTCGGGCACCATCTCTGATCATCTCCATTCCATTCCAAGGAGCTGGAAGTGACATTGCCAAGGAACCCCTGCGGGGTGGGAGGGGGCCCGGGGCCGGAACTCTGGCTCCTCCACACCTTTCTCCTCCAACACGTGGCCTTAAATCCCGCTTGTGCATAGTCTTGCCTCTTACTGAGGATGAGCCTCGAGTCTGTTGGCAGGAAGGCAGCTCCCCCAAACGCTTGTGTCTTTGACAGGGAACCTCTGGGAGGAGATGAAGGAGGAGGGCTTCAGCCTGGACGCGCTGGGGGCCTTCGCGGACTCCCCACTCAGCTGCGAGCTGGGGGCCTCGGGCCTGACCTCCGTCTCTGGCGGCAGCCACCAGTCCTTCCCAGACTCGCAGGGAACGGGTCTGTACGCCACATACTCGACCCCCGACAGTGTGGCCGCATCCGCCGCCGCCTCCCCATCTCAGTACCTGGGCGCCCCGGGGAACAAGCCCATAGCCCTCCTTTGAGCTGCAGCCACGCCTGCCCAGGAACCTGGGCCCGCAGGGAGCGGACCGAGCTGGCTGTTCCAGAAGAAGGGCCCTGCCCCACCTCCATGGGAAGCCTGTGGGACCTCCCCAAGTAAAAGGACAGCGGGGAGCGGACGAGCATCCTGGCTCCCCTAGCCCCGACGCTCCTGCGAGAGCTGAGACGCGAGGCTGGCAGGGCTGAGAACAAGGTCTCTCCAGCCTGCCTCCACGCTGGGCTCCCTCTGGGACGCATTGGTGAGCCAGGGAACGGCCCTGGCCGGAAGGCTCTGTAATTTATTCTTCTGGAATGACATATCCAACTCAGCCTCCCATGGATGGGCCCTGAGGCCACGCGTGGAGCTGGCAGACTGTCGAATTTCTCTTGGACCAGAACAGGCTGAACCCTGACATGGGCGCCCGCCCTGCCGGCCCCCTTCTCCCGTTGTCTGTTAGAATTCCACAGAGGAGACCCCTGCGCCATGCTGGGCACCGTGACCCCACACACGTGTATTTATATTTATTGAGACCTGTCCTCACCACCTCTTCGAACCAGCCCGTGGCCCCTCCCCACATCCCGGCGATCCTAACCCTAAATTCTCTGAGATTCTCGGCTCCCACTGGCTCTTCATCCCTTTGCGGCCTTAGGCTGCTTTTGAGAACAAACAAGCGTTTTGATACTATGAAACATCCTCTTTTTTAAAATTAGATATTTTTCTGATTGTTCCGTCATGATTCGCATCTCTCGCCTCGTGCATCTAAGAGGAGAGGTGTGCTAGTTTGCGGTCCAAGGAGCTTTCTAAGGGCAAGTCGGGATGGGCCTAGGAGAAATGGCAGGGGCTTTTTGTACTGGAATTTAAGAACCCCCGATGGGAAGGAGGCAAACTGTGAACCATGTAAGCTTGACCCACGAAGCGAGTGGGGCTGACGAAGCTGCAATGAGGAGTGACAATTTATCGTCACTTCTTGGCCTATTTCATTGCCGATGACCGCGTTATGTTTTTTTCTCTCATTGCCAGTGACTGCCTTTCCAAGTGGCAGGTCCTGCAGACAGCTGGGTCAGGCGGGAGTCAAGGGAAAAGAGAAGGTAAACAGTCTTCCAGCTAAGCTGAGACTGAGAACCTGCAGTAGCAGCTTGCACTGTTGTCCCCTCTTGACCAACTGGAGGTTTGGCTCCTGTGTCTGGGAGTTCCCAAACCCAGAGCCAGAATTTTCCAATTAAGCAACAGATCCACCACCTGGGAGGTTGGGTGTTTAGGCCTGTCTTGAAGGATCACCTTTAAGCCCTTCTTAGTTCTGGGACTTTCCACTGAGCATCCACCATCTTTAGACACACCCTGGTGCCGTCTGTCTGACCAGCCCGGCTCAGCTGCTTTGTGTGACGTGACCCCCGATGAGTTAAGACATTTGAGTTGTTGTTAATGAAGACCCCGTGTTTGGGCGACCCCAAGACTGTGTAAGCGTAGCATTGAATACCTGCCTTCTGTCAATAAAGGCTGGACGGCAGCTCTGTGGCTCGGAGGGAAGTGGGAAGGGAGGTAAAGGAGGACGCCACTCACTCACCTCTCACAGGGGAGACCCCATTTACAGATGGGGAAACTGAGGCCCAGAGAGGCAGCACCACAGCGGCACTGAACCCAGGTCTTCTGATTCCAGGTTCCCATCGTGCCAGAAAGTGGGCGGAGTTTGTCATTATCAATAAAATTAGCATGGCTGCTGTTTATGTCCCTCAGTTCGAGGCTCTTGGCAGGCGTTCTCTCAGACAGCAATGTGAACCCCGTTTACCCTCAGAAAGTGGAGGCTCAGAGAGGTGGGGTCACCTGAAGAGGCAGGGTTGAGTCTGGTGTTCCAGACAGCGGAGCGGGGCCCAGTGGGGCTGCTGGCAGCTGCCTCGGGTGCACGCCTGCAGGCAGGAGACACACCTGTTCAGCCCCAGGCCTTGGGCGGGTCAGTGCTGGAAATCAGCTTGTTCCACCCTCATTACAACCCAAACAGGCGTGTCTTATTAGTTATTAAACCCATTTGTCAGATGAAGCCACTGAGGCTCAGAGGAATAAAGCAGGTGACTTGCCACCCAAGATAACAGCAAAAGATTGTATTAAGTAGAAACTAACTCTGAAGCCCACCCAGGAGGTGGCTTGCAGCCTCACATGGGAAATCTGATTCACGCACACGCCACGATTAGCGAGGAAGGGAGCGTGGGGGGTGACGGGGCTGTGGGGGGCATCGGGCAGGGCTGAAAGGGCTCCCCCTCAGTGGAGACCAGGCAGCCGGCAGGGGAGGGTGCCTGCAGCCAGCCAGGGCTGCCTTTCTCTCCCCAGCACCCCTCCTCGACTTGGCTCCAGGGTGGCCCTGTGTCCCAGGCCTGGCTAAAGAGAGCATCACAGCCCCCGGCCACCCCCAGTGATGAGTTGGGGTTGGGGGGGGCGAGCGAGGCAGGCTGTGTTGGTCACAGCCAATGAACGTCACCCCGAGGACCTTATAAAAGCTACGGGACAGGGGCGAAGGGCTGGGAGGAGGAAGCCTGAGCAGGCGAGTCACCACGTGGTGGTGGACTGGGGAGCCCTTCCTTGGGTCTGACAGCCATGCCTTACACAGGCAGGTGGGGCCAGGTATGCAGAGAGTCAAGGCAAAAACGCCAAGGTCACAGAGGCACAGCTGTAGGCGAGAGTTCTGGTCACACCAGCGCCCCCCGCACAGGGGCCACGCCGATGCCAGACGCGGCAGGAAGGAGAGACCAGAGGAATGAGGCTTCACGGAGCTTCTCCCTGAAGCTGGGTAACTAACGGGGGACAAATACAACCCGTGCCCCCTGAGCACCCGCCACGTGCCGCACCGGGTTAGACGCTCGTCAGGAACATCTCCCTGAAACAGAACCACCACCGCACAGTCAGTGATGGTCCCGTCTCCCAGACGAGATAGCGGAGGCCCAGAGATGCTGGTCGTGCAGCTCTTCTTCCCCTCCGTGGGAAATCATCCACTTTCTACCAACAAAGATCACAGCGACCCTCGCTAATGCGTGAAACGGGCTTCCTCCGCGCTATGTGCACCGTGACATGGCTTATCCCATTTACTCGTCCTCTCTCCGTGGTAAAGCTGTCACGGTCCCCCTTGGAAGGCAGAATAATGGCCCCCAATGGTGGCCACGTCCCAGAGCCTGTGACTAAGTTATACGAGGAGGAATTAACATAGAGGATGGAATGAAGGTTGCTAACCAACTGCCCTTAAGCTAGGCAGGGCCCCTGGATTCTCCAGGTGGGCCCCACATGATCACAGGATCCTCCTGAGCACAGTGGGAGGCGGGAGGGTCAGCTTTGAAGATGGAGCCGCAACTCTAGAAGCTGGAGAAGGCAAGCAAAGGGATGTCCCCCCAGAGCCTGCAGAAGGACCACAGCCCTGCCAGCACCCTGATTTTAGCCCCGTGAGACCCATTCTGGACTTCTGACCTCCAGAACAGTGAGGTAACAAATCTGTGTTGCTTTGAAGCCACTAAGTTGGTGCTAATTGTTACAGCGGCCATAGAAAACAGACACATCCCCATTTTACAGAATAGGAAACTGAGGCTGAATAGCTTACCCGTGACTGGTAAGGGGTAGAGATGGGATTCCGACGATGCCCTGCTTCTCCGCGGTCTCTTCACTCACAGAGGGCTCAGCTGGCATGTCCCCTTGCTGGTTTAAAGAGGAGCACCCATCTCCGAGGCCAGGCAGCTGGGACTGAACCCCAGGTCTGCAGGTGCCCCTCCTACGGCCCCACACTGCCTGGCGTGGCGTTCTCTCCTGAAGGGCAGTGGGTGCAGGTTTAGGGAAGGGGATAAAAGGTATGGTCGGGAGTCGGGGATGCCGTGGAGCCAGGCATGGCCTCCGCTGGACGATGCTGGTTGCACCGACACCATCCTTCTTGTGGGTGTGGGTGCCGGACCTTCCGTCTCTGGCGTCACAGCCCCGAGTCCAGGGGTCGCAGGACAAAGACCAACTGGCAGCTGAAACGTGGGCAACTTCAGGGGCAGGAGGGAGGGAGGTGTGGGAGCCAGGACAGCTGAGTGGGTGAGGGGAGCGGGAGGCGGACAGACGGAAAGGCTCGCCCATGAGGTCTGCATATCCCGCCCACGATGTTTGGGAGATGAAAGCAAAAAGGGTCAAAGACTTTTGAGTCAAAATTACTTCTAGGCTCCACTCATTCATTTGGCTACTATAAAAACAAACGAAGAAACAGTTAAGTGTTGGCGAGGATGTGAGCCGCACTGTTGCGGGAATGTAAAATGGGGTGGCCCCTACGCAAAACAGTACGGCGGGTCCTCAAAAAATTAGCCATAGAATTGCCATAGGATCCAGCAATTAAACGTGTGGGTATAGACCCAAAGGAAGTGAAAGCAAGGACTCGAAGAGATATTTGCACATCCGTGTTCGTAGCTGCATTATTCACAATAGCCAAAAGGTGGAAGCAACCTAAGAGTCCACCGATGGAAGAGCGGGTGAACAAAGGTGGGTGCTGTGGTCTGAATGTTTGCGTCCCTCCAAAATTCACGTGTTGAAATGCAGAGGTGACAGCATCTGGGAGCCTTTGAGAGGTGACTACCTGATGCGGGAGCCCTCATGATGGGATTAGAGCTGTTACAAAAGATGGTCCATTGACCTCCCTCACCCCGTCAGCCACGTGAGGACACAGCGAGAAGTCTGCGACCCGGCAGAGGGCCCTCACCCACGTCAGCAGCCCGCGCTCGGACTTCCGGCCTCCAGAACCGTGAGCAACGAATGTCTGCTATTTACGAGCCACCCAGCCTGTGACATTTTGTTATAGCAGCCGGAACAGACTAAGACAGTAGACTAAGAACATTCAACAGAATGTCATTCAGCCTCAGAAAGGAAGGAAATTCTGACACCTGCTACAACACGGATGAACTTTGAGGACATTACGCTAAGTGCAACAAGCCAGTCACAAAAAGACAAATACTGCACGATTCCACCATTTCTATGAGGCCCCTGGAGCAGTCAAATTCATAGAGACAGAAAGTAAATGGCCGCCAGGGGCTGGAGGCAAGGGGGAGTGGAGAGTTAGTGTTTAATGGGGACAGAGTTTCAGTTTGAGGTGACAGAACAGTTCGGGAGACGGATGGTGATGATGATGGCACAACAATGTGAATATACTTAATGCCACTGAATCATACACTTAAAAACGGTTAAAATGGTAGGTTTTATGTTACGCGTATTTTACAATAAAAAATTTAAAACTTACTTCTAGGCTCTTGGCCTGTGCTTCCTGCCCACGCCACCACCTGGAGATATGCTGCACGGCTCAGGGTATCACAAGATACAGACCATCACCAGACATGGCCTCTCATCTCACCTTCCAGAAGGGGTCCACCTCTCTGTCAGTAGATTGCTCTCCAAAATCCATCCTTAACTCAGCGGTCAGAAGGGTCTAGGGACCCCTAGTACACATTTCACTTAAAAATTCATGTTTCATATACATCACACAAAAGGGGGAGCACGGGGGCTGTGGGACCACAGAGGAGAGGCTCCCAATTCACTGGAGAGGTGGTCTGGGAAGCCTGCCCAGAGGAAGCACCGTTTGAGTTGGGTTTTGAGGGATGAGTAGGAGTCAGCCAGGCAAAGAACAAGGGGGAAGAGTGTTTTTGGCAGGAGAAACGGTCATGGCTCACCCGGACCAGATTGGTCTGGTTAACGAGTGATGACAGACTTGGTGGGAGGGACGTGGGATCCGGGAGTGGGTCAGGCCAGGCCTTACGGGATCAAGTGAGAGTTTTGTCCTGGGGGCACTTGGAGCAGCAAAGGGGCACTTGGGAAGATCCTCTGGCTGCTGAGCAGAGGATGCGTCATGGAGGGCAGACAACTGGCAGAGCCTCGGTGTGGCTCAGGGATCAGCTGCCTGGGCAATGCCCAGAAGGTGGTGGGGGGGGCTCTGTCCACACTAGTTGGGTGCAGAGGAGCCTTTTCTGTGCACAGGGGTCATCTGGGGAGCCTTTCTGTGGTCTCTGTAGGTGATCCTAGTTCCCTCCTCTACCGAGTTCCTATCACAGGGACCCTGACCAGTAGACTTGTCTCTGAAAGACACAGGACGTTACAGTACAAGAGACCCTGTGCATCTGCGATTGAACAGGCAGTTTTGACTAGTCATGACCCCTGAGCTCCCGCTATGGTTAACCTTGCAGTTTCTACCTGTTGGGGACCCTGGATGTCCCCAGCACACTGTCCTCACACGGTGCTTGGCACATACTACCTGCTCAATAAGCAGTTGATCAAAGTACTTGGCTGGGGCCACGTGCACTGCAAGGCTGGAGCTTCTCTCACTGGCCACACGGCTGGCCACTTCACCTCAGCACAGCTCTGTTGTTCTGCATGCACGCTTGGCTGCAGAAAACTCAGGAAGTGACTCATGAGGGCTGCACTGGGGGGAGGCCAGTGGTCCAGCTTGGACCCCAGCTGCCCATCACGGCCTCTGATCCTTTCTCCCTTCCCTGCAGGCCACTGCACTAAGTCCCCCAGGGCAGGAAAGTGGGCCCGTCGGGGAAGGTACTTCCAGGGGGCCGCCACAGGCAGACCTCAGTGTCACCAGCCGGCAGACGGCAGCTCGTGTCCATGTTTGAAATCCAGCTGAAAGGACTAGGGAGCCCACCCGTGGCCGTGGGGATGCGAACTCCAACCAGAGCTGCGACCTCCTGGGATGGGGCTTGCTCAAGGCCTCAGCTGTTGCAGGAGGATGGCGAGCTCC